TTATTTTTGTTGGGATTTTTTGATTCCTGCCTCTGTACCTGTGAACCTAATTAAACCCACTTAAATTCACCTCTGCCTACTTGCCTCCGCTTTTGGGTCCTCAATCCAACACCAAATCGTGACATATTCATCCAAAATACAATATTAGGTCATCAGACGTACCTGGTATGTGTGAATAGGGGTAAAATATTCGTCCATCTCATTAATGGCGTCCCACTGCAGACACGAAAAGACAAAGCAAACAGAGAAGAAGATGATTTCTGTTTAATAACACGGTTAATGCACGGAAATATTCCTGCGTCAAACTCATTTAGCAACAAACAAGGACTGTTGGAAGGACATGGCAATAAATCCCTTAAATTAAAGATTCATTGAGTGAATTTCAAACGTGTGTCACTGAGGGATGTAAAAACATAAAAACAAACGTATACATCAGTAGATAAAACCAAACTCATAATAGCTAAACAATAACTTGAAAAAAGGAAGAGGCAAAATATAACTGATATTCTTAAAAAATGTCACTTAGTTCTTTAAGATCTACTGAATAAACCAGCAGTCGGTTCTCCATGTTTTAGGGTTATACGGTTAAAGTTATGTTTAAAATCATAAAAATAATCAAGAGTTAAATGATCTTACTTGTGTGAAAATGTTAACAATTAAGCAGAATGACTTTTTAAATCTTAAGTGGCTTATTCTATGAAGCAAAACATTGCAATATTCAATACAACATAAAAAAACAACTTTTTAAGTTGACGACAGTCAGGCTTTCAGTCTTCCTTGAATTAAATAGAAGGTTTTAAACTAACGCTACATAATAAAAACTTTATAAATGGATTTAAAGGATAATAGCATAGTTTAAAGGTGTGATGAGTCAATCCTTTTCATTAATAATAAATCATTTAAAAACAGAAAGGCTGGTTGTAATCTTGTTGAATAATAATATTGAACTTTATTGTCCCACATTGGAGAAATTCCCTCCCTAGTATCTAACCCCTCCCCCCAGGGAGCAGAGGGCTGCCATTGTGCGGCACCCAGGGAGCAGTTTGGGGGGTTAAGGGTCTTGTTCAGGGAGGATCAAACTGGGTACATTCAACCTTCTTAGAGGACAAATGCTGTGCTCTAACCACCAGGCCACCACTCTCCTCTGCTTCTAGAAGAACTTTGAGTTTAAGGAGGAAATAAACCTTCTCTACTGATTTAGACCATTTGCAGCAACTAAACAGCCTCTGAGCAGGAAGTGCTGTGGAGGGAGGGAGGGAGGGAGGGAGGGTCTGTATCTGATC